CGCTATGAGTCGGTTCCAACTCGATGGCACCTGAAAACAACAACAAACAACCTAGCCTCCATGTAGGACCTGGAACACCTCCCTTTTGCTGACTGGTGGCCGCACTCTCAGACAAAAGATCTTAATTTCTTGAGATCTGATATAAAGTATTGAGGTAGAAACACAGCCCAACAGTCCTGATCTGGACTTTCAAGAACTGAAAGTAGGGAAGAATCTTGGACTGATTGTTATCCAATTTATTTAGTGGTGAGTGGCATTCTCAATGTTTATCATGACCCTGGGATGACCTGTAATACTTGCCTTCCTTGTACTGGTGCCTTACCCCTCACACTAAAGCCAGCTCCCCTCCAGGAAGTGTGATGCTTTACCTAGGAAGAGTGATGGTTGCCTCATTTGAGCTCCCCTCTCTTTTTTCTGCCAAGACAGATTGACAGTAGCAGGTGGATTCTATAATTTCCCTACCCTCATGGATTGGGTGACCTCCATAGCCCCCAAATCCTTCACATTGACTCCTGGAAATCAAGACAATCTTTCTACTGCTGACTTCTGCTCAAGCCCCTTACACCTAGTCCCTCAACCCCCTGCGACATCAGACGAGCTAGTGGGTTGGGTTAATTATGTCAGAAATGTCCTGATATCCCAGGGATGCCAGCAGGGCTGGGCTATGGGCAGTCTCCTCAGTTCTGATGAGAGAAGGTTTCCTCATTTTGGGGCTTTACCTTGACTCCTGACACTCTTGGGATTCCTTCTTTTGCTAATCTCAGGATACCACTCAGACCAAGACCCTTACCAGGGCCTCTCAGGGATGGGTTCTATAGCAACTCAGAGTTCCTTTCTGGATTGCTGACAGGGCCTGAGATGTCTCATTTGATTGGCCTATGTCTCATAACCTCAGACCATGATGCCTCAGAGGAGGAAGTCAGGGAATGCCACATGAACTTCCCCAAGTATAAGTCCTGCCACAGATGAATTCAAGATTCATGATCTTGTTGAGGGGCAGGGAGTGTCCTTAATACTCATTCAGGATCCTCAACTTGACTCCTTGCAGACCTTGGGTTTCCTATTAATTCTCACCCGAATTTATCCTCTTAGCCCAATGTTCTAATATCACTGAAAACCCTGAATTGTAACAGAGGATATATTCATCTTGAGAAACCTGTCTGGAGCCCTCTATGTCCAAGAGCAGACCAAACCTTTCATTCTGTGAGCCCATATATTTGGGTATTTCATTTCCACAGTCTTCCCACATGCAGTGTTTTTATCTTGCCTCCTATTTCTTTGATTAAGGACTTCCTGGAAAATGTCACATCCCTGCAAACACTTGAGTAAATTTCCTACTGTTAATTATGCAGAAACTGCGCCTTTGTCCCAGAGTGAGGAGTGATGTTAGATGGAGACGCTGTAGGACAAGTAGTTGCCCAGAACAGGTGGTGAGCAGGTAGAGATCTACTTCTTCTCTGCATCCCCCCACACACTTAGTTTCTACAAGGAAGGGACTAGACCCAATAATTCTGTGAGCCTCTCGTCTTTTCACGGGGGTGATCTCGTTTTTTGAAAGTTCTCTGAGTCGTGCAAACAGTTGAGCTCTAGATTATTAACCAAAAGATTGGTGGCTCAAACCAACCCACAGATGCCTTGGAAGAAAGTCCTGGCAATCTGCTTCCTAAGTGTCACCCCCTTGAAAACCTTACGGAGCCCAGTTTCACACTGAAGCACATGTGCTTGCTCACAGTCAAAGTCAAACCAAGCAACAACTATATTTTGTTGTTGTTGTTTTTTGATCTTTAGAAGTTAAGTGATATTTTATATGCCATTATTGTTGCTAGGTGCCATCAAGGTTTCCAAGGTGAGACTGGTGAGTTTGAACTTCCAACTTTGCAGCTCAAACCTACCTTGCAGTCCTGTGCTGACTGTCATTGGATATTGCCCCATCCTTTTCTTTACTGATACTGCAAAATTTGATATTCTTACTGCTCAAACTTTGGATTCCAAAGCAGTAATTTAAGTAAAAGTCCTTCACATTATTTGTAGTGAGAAGAAAAGTGAATTAAGAGACATAAGATCAGCTTCTGGCTAGAAGAAGTGGAACAGTGTGGGCTCCAGATGGATTCAGAACAGGGGTTTCGTTAGGTCTGTCACCTAATGGAATTTTAACTAAAGAGTGCTGTAAGAGCTTCCTCTGCCAAGTGATTCTGATAAAATTCTTGTATGTAAGACTGTAGAAACATATGTAAAGTATGTAAAGCACTTGCCACAGAACTTGGGTCTTTAACAAATGATTATTTTAAGCCCAGATGAAAGCAACTCAAGTTCAGTATTATTCCCTAAGAAATGTTTAACAATATGAAA